TCTTTCGGGGTTCTATAGGCCGCTACGAAGGGTAGACGGTTTAGAACTATAAGGAAATAGGCATATAGCAACGCATAGAACACCCTCTACTAATCGCCGTAGTAGGAAGTAGAACTAAACCGTACCTTTCTTAGAATAGGGCAGAGTGTTTACTATTAACTAGGCTACGTACGGATAGCATATATACCGAGCTAGTAACCGAGTATATCCGTATAAGCGACCGAGCTTTTCCACATATATACTAAGTAGGCTTTACGCTAGCGAGACAGCACCGCAGTATACGTAATAATATCACATAATTGTTACGTAGGCTTACTAAGGCACAATAGGAGACTTTACTTACTTAGGTTCTTATAGTACCGGTCGCTATTACGAGCGTTTCGGTATTATAACTTACTATTATACCTATTACGGCCTCGTACTATACCGTAGCTATCGGACTGTATATACCTACAGCACTATACTTTATACTTGTCTTTTACGGCTTGCGTAAAAGTATAAATCGTATTACTTAGTAAAGGCTTGTCGAGCTTGTCTTATAGGCGGGGCTCGAATCGCAACTATGCCTAGTAGAGAAGAGCGTACGGCCTATTAGGGTCTATCTCGAGACCTACCTCGCGTACGTAGCGGATGCAGTTTATAATAAACTACTAGGGTGCTCTACGGTTACGTACGTCCTATACTATATACGATTTAGCGTATAGCTTGTCCTAGGCCTCGACAATAGATCTACTAAACTTGTCCCTTAGGGCTTTATACTAGCGCTCGATGCCCTCTCCTCCGCGAATCGTATTACGATTATTGCTTACAAGCTCGTAAATAAACTATTATTATACGGCTCTACGGAGGCACTTCGTAAGCTAAGTACGTACTATACGGGCGTAACTAACCGCCGCGTAGTCGCAAGCTGCGTCTAAGAATAGGTATACTAAGGTAAATGTAACCTTGTTGCCGTACGTATAGATATCCTAGCTATCTAAGTCCGCGTATAGGGCATTAGGGTAGAAGTACCCGATGTCTGTCGGGTTAAACCTCTCTAAGCGCTAAGAACGCTGTAGGCTATAATAGGGTAAGCGGCTAAATTAAAAGCTATCGATATAGTACGGGTTAAAGTTGTAACCTCGGGGGCTATAGTTCCCGCCCTAGGTACTAGAATTACCTAGGCTTAGGCTTAGAGGCCCTCCGCTAGCCGCACCGCCTTAACTATAGCGGCGCTGTCTAGCCTCGGCGTTACGTTAGACGTTACGGCGTAACTAATACGGCTAGGCCTTAACTAGGTTAGGCAGTAGGGCTAATAGCACTTGTTCCTACGGGACCTGTTTATTTAAACCTATACGCGCGAGGCGTTTAGCTCTCCCGGTATCGAGCCTGTCTTATACTAAGCTTAAAGGGATGCTCTAGTATAACTAGTCGATCTCGTCCCTAATTTTATCCCTAAGTTGCTATATTTAGATAACTTGTTAATTTAATAGTTGTCTAAACAGCTAGCGTATCTTATTACGTAGGACGGCTAGGTTAGCGGCGTTTAGGATTTCGCCGTTAGCGTCTTTAGCGGCCGCGTTAGCGCTAGCGGCGTTCTAGTTCTCGCGTACTAGGACTTCGCGTAGCGTGCCCTCTCGTAGGCGTTAAGGCTAGGAATTGTCGTAAGCTAGCTACTTACCGTTACGCTAGTTTTAGGAGGATAGTCCTACGGCTGCGTTATATACTCGCTAGCGGTCCGTAACTAGACGCCTAGCTTCTGTGCCTAGAAAAGCGTTAACCGATCGGCGGCGCTATATCTACTATCGAGGAGGTAGGTCCCGCTTAATACTAGGTTCTACGTATACTAAGTCCGTACGCTAGAATTCTAGGTCTATATTTTAGGACATGTCGGCTATATCTTTAGTAGATGCGGGAGGGAGTAGTAGCTCTTACTCTTATCGTCGGGGTTCTCGCTACTAAGTGCCTTATTACTAAAGCTTAGGAGCTAGTAAAGAGGACTCTAGACTGCTTAGGGCCGGGAGCTCCTACTACTCGGGCTTAGGGCTCTATTGCTCCGGAGCTTGCTAATTAGGACTCTGCTACTCTGTATCCTAGTACTCGGGCTTAGGACCGTGTTGCTTAGAGCCGACTAAAACCGGTAAGGACAAATTAGGACTGCTCGGGACTAACAGCTCTAAGGCACTAAGTTCTCGTAGGCCTAAGGGAAATACAATTAGTAAGGACCTGTAACGTATATACGTAACTCGTCGTATGCTAGCTGCTAAAATAGTCCGACGGCGACGTAGCTATAAGCTAGCGTCCGGACTTAGACTTGTAGGCACTACTATATCTAGTAACGGTAGTGCTAGTTCCGGAGTAGGAGCCGCTAAGTCGTTAGGTTCTATCGTATCTAAAACTGCAAGTTCGTTACGGAGGGCAAGTAGCGTCTTCGCTACTGCCGTAACTAAAGAGCGGTTAACTGCCTAATCCTAAGGGAAACCGAGGGTAGTACCGCCTCTAGTGTCCGAGAGTTTTCGTAGTATATATTCTTCTAGGGGCTAATAATGCGTAGTAATTTTCGTAACGACTACTATAAGCGGGTCTCTTTGCTTCTAGTGCACTAACTTAGCGTAACCGGCGTTAGCTAAGAACTCCTTAAAGCAAAAGGTAATGTTTAACGAGTAGGCGTCTAAATCGGGGCATACGGAAGCTAGCGTATTTATAGAATAAGCGTAGGCTCGGTAATCTTATAAAAATATAGGATAGGTATAGAGTTAAGGAACTAGACTAAAGTCGGGAAACTATTAGAGTGCTTAGAGGCTCTTGCCTCGACCGGTGCCCGCTTCGGTAGGTACTAGTATAGAGTAAATAAACCTAAATAAGGAAGGCGGGCCGCCTAGTCTAGCGATTAAAGGGCTATAGGGCGCCGTCGATTAGAGGGCTGTCGGTATGTAGCTATATATATATAGAAGATAATATACGGAATTTAGAGGACTGTCGTAATCGTCTCGGTATCGAGCGTAGGTAGTTGTTATAGTTAGGTAGGTAGGTCGGTGCCGCTAGTACGGGACCTCGCGGTCGCGTCTTTTTAGTTTTTTAAGGTGTCCGTTCGTCTAGTACTCGGGTACTGTTCGAACAGATCTAGATCTAACTAAAGCGAAGCTACTAATTGTTATACGAGGGACGATTAGTAGGTTAGCTATAGTATAGTATTAGGGTAAGTATCTACGGTTCTACGGAAAGTATATACCGGGCTTAGCTAGCGTACCGTCCCTACTATAACAAAGCCGCTTTAGATAGCAAGAGACTGCTAGGTAATATATAGGATAGTAATAGAGAGTAGCTTACAATAGTTAGCTATATCTACGCTAATAGAATATAGCTACTACCTAGCCTAATTTGTTAAGCTAAGATAGGCAATATTTAGGATACTTAGGTATAGGACTTTAAGGCTTTAGAATATACTACTTTCTTCGCTTCTTCTAAGAAGGGTTAGATAGATAATAACCTTAGATTAGCGTAGCTAGAACAGATCTTCTATCGCTATATAAAGGATAAGGCACGTAGAAGATATAGGCTCTTGTTTGTAGACGGCTATAGTAGCTATATTAATATGCTATTCCTTAACTAGTATAATAAGAATAAGATCTTAGTAGCTATCTACCCTCCTTACTTAACGTATAGGCTCTAGCCGCTTAATGTATTAGTCTTTAGTCTACTTAGCGTTTACTATAGCTAAGAACTAGACAAGTTCCTTTATAACTACTAGGGGTTGTATAGTATTACTAAACGTAACTTCCTACGCTTGTTCTAACCTACCTAGATAAAGGCTCTTACTAAGAAGAATATTCTTAGTGCCTAGAAGAAGATAGGCCTATATCTATTTAATCTACTAGAGATACTAGATATCTTTAAACCGAAGGAGATAGTAATAAGGCCTTCTAGTAGTAACTTATATAACTCAATCTTATTAGCTAGTAACTAGAAGAAGCTTAAAAAACTACTTAGAGACGTTGTAGCTAGAGAACTAGACGAGTTTTAGTATAGGAAGGTTAATAAGCTATCTAATACTATTCTCGCTATAATAACTAAGAATGCTCTACTAAAGGCCGAGAATAAGGGCTTTTAAATAGTACTTAATCTTAAGAAGAAGAAGCGCAAGCGTAGCAAAGGCTTATTCGAAGAGCTAGGGGCAAATGACAATAATGGCGCTGTATTCTTCTTGCTAGAGAAGATTAGATAGGCTCTTGCTATATAAGCTCGTAAAGAATAAGACAAAGTAGACTAACAAGCCGCTAAATAGCTTAAGAAGGAAGAGTCTCGTACGAGGGCTTAGTAGAAGAAAGTCGCTATTTAGTTACGTAAAGAAGAACGCTCGAAGATAGCTATAGAGAAGGCAGCTTAGAAGCTAGTAGATACTACTAATAAATAACGTAATAAAGAGACTAAGTAGGCGACTCGACAACTCTAAGATAGTCTATAATAGTTAGCTAAGAAGCTAAGGAGTCGCAAACAAGTACTAGTTAAGCCTCTAGCTAAGGTGTTATAAAGTAGTAAGGTATAGAAGCTAGAAGCCGAGATTTAGGGTAGATCTTAGCCTATACGTAGTACGCGATAACGATATAAGCTATAGCTATAATATGTATACTATTTTGAAGCCTATTATTACAAGTGTCTACTGTCTTAATATAAACATTATATCTCTAATAGTTGTTGAGAAACTGCATACTAAAGTGCCTTAGTTGAAACCTCGGAGGTGTGCGTCATTTGCGGCTGTGCGGCACGCCCGCTTGACTTCTAGGCAGAGTCCGCGTAGTGGTAAAGCATATCTCCGATCTTACTATAACGCCTTGTCGCGCCTTCCACAACACATCAGATACGCTCGACTGGAATACGTATAACATTATTACCGGTTCACAAGTCACGAGGAGTGGCAGTGGCAGCGAAGACATTGGCGATGGGCGCGACGGACGTGATGGACGCGATCTTTTACACGCGGCGAAATCTCCGTTACATTGCCTTGACTATTTCATCTACAATCACTTCTTAAATGGATTCCTGCTTCCACTGGTCGCCAATCTAGCACCTGGATACTTTGAATTTGGACCGAAGACGCTCTTGCCTGCTGGCAGATTCGGGCAGTCACCCAGAGTCTTCAGGACCGGCTCCATCTGCGTACCAACCAGTCCCAACACAGTGCTCAAAGTGGCACCGGAGAAGACCTTGTCCAAGAAGCTTGGAGTATCAGCACGAATGGCCTGAGCAATGAAGCAAGCCATGCGCTTAGGGTCGGACAGGTCAGAAACGCTGTTGACGAAGCCACCGGAGATGTCACCCAGGTCAAAGCCATCGAAGCTGTTTACTTCACCAGTGTTGCCACCCACCAAGCAAGCGGATGGATATGACGCGCATTGCTGAGCAGTAGAGATGGCAATGTCGTTCAGCGTCCAGGGATCGTCGTTGTGGCGGCGGTACCAGTTGTCTGGAATGCGCTCATGGCCGTACTTGTACTGCAAGTTGCCGCTGCCATCCTGGGTGTACGAGAAGAAGCTCATGAAGACTTCTGGGGTCAGGAAGCCTCGTGGCTCGGTGGCGCTGTGATTTGCCAAGAGCTGGAAGGCGAACATGTGAGCGCCGAAGGTGAAGGCGACACCGGCGTAAGGTGGCGAGAAGTAGTTGGGATTGTTGGCGATGGAGTACTTCTTGCGGTTGTCGGAGTGCTCGGCCATGACTCTTGGAGTCAAGTTGCCGCCTGTCCTGGCCTTTGCAAGGTCGAGGAGCTCCTGCATGAAGACTGGGTATGATGCGCAGTTCGAGTTCATGCTTGGCGCGAGCCAGTCACCGCGAGTGATTGATGCATCGCCCTCGCTGCGAAGATGACCGTATGCGCAGATACCGGTCTCGTTGCCGAGGAGGTCGCCCACAGCACCAAGTGATTGGGTCTTGTCGCTGTGGTAGCCAATGCTCCATCTGCCGGAGATTGGATCTCCATTGAAGAAAGAGGTGGCAGTCTGGAGGAAGATGGTGGCCGTCTTGTCCAAGCCGAATGCCTGCCATAGACCCGTGTTGATGGCGTCCGCATCCACAATACCTGACCTCGGAAGATAGCCGTGGTTTGCTGCAGCGTTGAGACCAGCGCATGGGCCTCGAATGTCACCCGGACCTGGTGCTTGCCATGCGTGGTCACCGGATGTTGACACAAGCTGGCTTGAAGGATCGAATTTGTCGAATGAGGCGTGCAATGGCGAGCCTGGCCATTCTGGGAATGCAATGGCACCATCTGGAACACCTACTTGGCCTGCATAGATGTCAGCTCCGATGTCTCGATGGGTCAGTTCGACTACCTACGCTCTTCCATACGCTGCTTCTCCACCATCTGAGCAATATGTGGGAATGCCGCTGCGGCATTGAGCAGCGCCGCTGTTGCGAAAGCCTTGGACAACATGATGGCTGCTGGATTGTTTTGCAAAAGGAGGAGACTGCTCCCTTTACACCGCCGTGACAGGACTTATATATCTGCCTTCTCGGCCTACAGGTATTTCCTCGATGTTCATCTTTCCGGCGGCAAGTGCCTGATTAGACCGCACGCTCGCACACACTCTCTGAAGCTCGCGGGGTATATTACACCAAGGCATGAGGCTTTGGCACTCCAATCTCAGGGAAGAAGCCTAGCCGGATGCAGGGCCCTTTTGCATGTCACCAGTGCAAATCATATCGACGAGTCAGAAATCCTGGGTGGCTCATTAGCTGCAAGCTATGTCGCAAACCCGTCTAGCCGGCAACTCTTGATTCAAGCTTCTTTGCTAAGGTTAAGTGCGCTCGCACGACGTATTTGTCGCAACAGCCACAAGACTGTCGGCAAATGGTCAGCAGGTCTTGTGTCCTGCCTATTTTAGCTACACCGACGATCTTTTGCTCGAATTAGTCGGCAGATGAACATAAAAGTTGCCCAATAACAGCTAGCAGGCATCACAACACGATCTCTTTAACTCTCCGAGCCAAGTCCGTGACAGGTACTGCACTTGGCGACAAGTCCTGTACACTATGAAGCGCTATCCACGTAGGCGGGTGGCGATAACCAGCATGTACCTCTTTACGATCTTTTGGTGGCTCTTCATACAACGCCGCAAAGATTGACCCAAGAGCACAACCAGGCGACACCAGACGTGTGATGGTATTTCTCAGCCAGCAAAGTCCTTCGACCGACGAGAGACGAGCCCGGTGGAAAATTTTTCAGCAGCAACTTCACCTGACAGGACGTGCTAGGATCTGCGGACAACATCAATCAGCGCCAGAACCCTGCATACTGCATCATGTACACCGCGGGCGCTTGTGGCGAAGACAAGCAAGAGAGGACCTTTGATGATTGCCTCGGCGTCGTTCTGCTTGCAGAGTCCAGAACTCAGAAGAGAAGTACCAAAGTGACCGCGCTCTCTTCGACGAGAGCCTTCATCATGGCCCTTCAACTACAGCGCCTTTGCACATCGGAGTGGATGTGGATGCCTGCCGGTCCTCGAGATTTAGTCCATCTGATTCGTTGCAAACCACAAAACCCAGGATTGAGATATCGAGCGCTTTCACTCCGATGCGAGAAGAGGCTTTGCGACTCATCCGTATCAGAGTCTCATTAGAGAAATTATGCCTGATGAGAGAAGCGCAGTCCACAAGCCCTGGATGCTTAGAAAACTTCAGAAGGTGGGTGTTTCGTCTCCGATATAATTTAGAAGATGTCGCACTACTTTGCGCGAAGAGGCTCTATCGATGCTGCACTGGCAGCTACTCGCATGTCTTCTCTACCGCCCGCCAAACCAACGTTAGTCCTGTCTTTGTTTCATCGCAACTTGGACCTGTCTAGCGGAGCGTACGAAATATAATATAGTTCGCCTTCCTTTTATCGGTAAAGTCTACTTTACTACTAATATAAGCCAACTAGTATATCTCTATTAATAATCGACTACTTATTATATACTAATAGTAAGGCTAAATACCTTTTTTTAATATTACGGGCAAGCCCTTTATATACGAGTCTAATACGTAAAAGCCCGGCACGGGCCGTGCCGTAGCTTAGTACCTCCGGATCCCTATTTAAACACTTAGTCCCTACGACCTCTTAGATAGTTGTTCGCGACTTCGTAGTTACCTCGAATATAAGGTCTCCGTTACATTTCGCGAACTATATACTTATAGGATACTACTATATTAGTATTACGCAATCTACCTATTCGAAACTCGTATCCGAAACCGTATCCGACACTCGCATTCGAAATCGCTACCGCGTAGCGCTATAAAGAGATAGCCTCGTATATCTATATCCGTATCTATATCCGTAACTCGCTTAAACGTAGCCTATAAGAAGATAGACGCGTTCTACTCGAATCCGCCCTATACTTAGCCGAGTACGCTATTCTATATAAAATATATACGCGCCCGACTCGAGTATCTGCAATTATATCTCTCGTAGCAAATAAAGAGTAAGTATATAACGGCAAGTATTAGCACCTCTTATATATACTCTCTCCGCTATAGCGCGTTCTAAGCGACTACGCTATCGGCGTACTACGCGGGAATCCGCACTCTTTATACGACCCGATAATAAGATATAAGCCGCTATTCCCGGCGAGTTCCTCTCTAACTAGTACTCCGAGTAAGAGAAAGAGATCCTCGAGAAATTGCTAGAAGGTCCTAAGTAGGAGTATAGAGATCGTTAAGATACGACCTATCTAGAACTTCTAGCCCTAACTTTTAATTTCTCTAAACTAATCTACGATGCTTATATCCGTAAAGATAATACGACTAGGTAATACGAAGTAGCAATCGATTACGATACGGCGACTAAAGCCGACTTACTAACGACTATTACTATCCCCTTAAAATCCCTTTAGAAGCTAACCTCCGAGTAATTCGCTTCTATAGTATTATAAGACAACGACTCGATCTATTTACTACTACGATAGCTTAAATTAGACTATCGTAAAACGATCCGCTAGTGCTCTATCTTGTTTAAGGCAAACGAACTTAATAAGAAGAAGTATAAAGAGGCGAATAGTAAGCTAAAGTACGTTGCTAAAGCATCCGAGATTCTATAGAAAGAGATAGACTCCTATAGAAAGACGCTCTCTTAGAGCCTAGTCGTAGCCGATATCGAGAAGTATAAGACATATATAAAGGAGTACCGGCTATAGGCTAAGAAGGTAGATATTACAGTAGGCACGGTACGCCGGGCCTAGTATATACTTCGGTAGCACCGTAGATACTTACGCAATACTATACTATTGCCTAACTACTAATCGTCCCTCGTATAACAATTAGTAGCTTCGCTTTAGTTAGATCTAGATCCGTTTAAACAGTACCCGAGTACTAGACGAACGGGCACCTTAAAAAACTAAAAAACCCTACCGCCGCCGCTTAACGCGACCGCGAGGTCCCGTACTAGTAGCACCGACCTACCTACCTAACTATAATAACTACCTACGCTTGATATAGATACGATTACGACAGTCCTCTAAATTCCGTATATTATCTTCTATATATATATAGCTATATACCGATAGCCCTCTAATCGATAGCGCTCTATAGCCCTCTAATCGCTAGACTAGGCGGCCCGCCTTCCTTATCTAGGTTTGTTTACTCTATACTAGCACCTACCGAAGCGGGCACCGGTCGAGGTAAGAGCCTATAAGCACCCTAACAGTTTCCCGAATTTAGTCTAGTTCCTTAACTCTATACTTATCCTACATTTTTATAAGATTACCGAGCCTACGCTTATTCTATAGATACGCTAGCTTCCGTACGCCCCGATTTAGACGCCTACTTATTAAATATCGCTTTTTGCTTTAAGGAGTTCTTAGCTAACGCCGGTTACGCTAAGTTAGTATACTAGAAGCAAAGAGACCCGCTTATAGTAGTCGTTACGAAAATTACTACGTATTATTAGCCCCTAGAAGAATATATACTACGAAAACTCTCGGACACTAGAGGCGGTACTACCCTCGGTTTTCCTTAGGATTAGGTAGTTAACCGCTCTTTAGTTATAGTAGCAGCGAAGACGCTACTTGCTCTCTATAACGAACTTGTAGTTTTAGACACGATAGGACCTAACGACTTAGCGGCTCCTACTCCGGAACTAGCACTACCCTCTCTAGATATAGTAGTGCCCGCAAGTCCGGATACTAGTCTATAACTACGCCGCCGCCGGACGATCTTAGTAGCTAGTATGCGACGAGTTACGTATATACGCTATAGGTCCTTACTAATTGTTTTTCCCCTAGGTCTACGAGAACTTAGTGCCTTAGAGCTGTTACCTATAAGCAGTTCTAATTTGTCCTTACCGGTTTTAGTCGGCCCTAAGTAGTAGAGTTCTAAATAGTAAGGTCCTAAGCAACACGGTCCTAAGCCTAGGCACTAGGATATAGAGTAGTAGAGTCCTAATTAGCAAGCTCCGGAGTAATAGAGCCCTAAGCCCGAATAGTAGGAGCTCCTAGCCCTAAGTAGTCTAGAGTCCTCTTTACTAGCTCCTAAGCTTTAGCAACAAGGTACTTAGTAGCGAGAACCCCGACGACAAGAGTAAGAGCTACTACTCCCTCCCGTATCGGCTAAGAATACAGTCGATATGTCTTAAGATATAGACCCGGATACCTAGCGTATAGACTTAGTATATATAGAGCCTAGTATAGCGTAACCCGCCTCCTCGCTAGTAGCGCTATAATAGATTAGTCGACGCTTTCCTAGGTATAGAGGCTAGACGCCTAGTCGCGGACCGCTAGCGAGCACGCAACGCTAGCGTAGGACTATCCTCCTAAAACTAGCGCAACGGCAAGTAGCTAGCCTACGATAACCCGTAGCCTTAATACCTACGAGAGGGCGCGCTACGCGAAGTCCTAGCACGCGAGAACTAGAACGCTACTAGCGCTAACGCGGCCGCTAAAGACGCCGACGGCGAAATCCTAAACGCCGCTAACCTAGCTATCCTATATAATAAGATACGCTAGCTGTTTAGACAACTATTAAATTAATAAGTTATCTAAATATAGCAACTTAGGGATAAAATTAGGGACGAGATCAACTAGTTACGCTAGAGCATCCCTTCTAGCTTAGTATAAGACAGGCTAGATACTAGAAGAGCTAAACGCCTCGCGCGCGCAGGTCTATATAAATAGGTTCTATTAGCCCTACTACCTAACCTAGTCGAAGCCTAGCCTTATTAGTTACGTCGTAACGTATAACGCAATGCCGAGGCTAGAGAACGCCGCTATAGCTAAGGCGGTACCGCTAGCGGAGGCCCTCTAAGCCCGAGCCTAGGTAATTCTAGTACCTAGGGTAGGAACTTTAGCCCTCGAGGTTACCGCGTTAACCCGTACTATATCGATAACTTTTAGTTTAGCCGCTTACCCTATTATAGCCCGCAACGTTCTTAGCGCTTAGAGAGGTTTAACCCGATAGACATCG